GTCAGCGTTGGTGCGTCCTCGTCGCCAGATTATTATGTATTATTCTGGTGGTAACCACTTCCATGTTCATGCCAAAGTTTATGGATCATTGTTTGAGTTACGCTCCTTCGACAACATTGTGAACTATTATTGCGCATTAGTCTGTGGTATCGGTTTTCGTGCCCTTCACACGTGTAAAGGGGTTTTTGTTTTTTGGACTGCTTTTTGTGAATTGCTCCAACTCTCAGAGCTCCTAGGCTATCCTGGAACAGCGACCACCATCCTACATCGCACCGCTCAGCTACCAGCGCTGCTTCATCAGGGGACCCACACACACCAACCCGAGATCTCTGGCACCAGTCTCCTTCTCCCTGGGTTACTCCCTGGGCCTGCGGCGCACTCAGCTGTTCAGTGAGCAACGCCTCCACCATCCTACATCGCACCGCTCAGCTACCAGCGCTGCCTCATCAGGGGACCCACACACCAACCCGAGATCTCCGGCACCAGTCTCCTTCTCCCTGGATTACTCCCTGGGCCTGCGGCGCACTCAGCTGTTCAGGTCCCCAGAGTGACTACCAGAAACAATCTGTACTATACCTGCTGCTTGTTCTTACACTCTCTTTTTTCTCTTATTTAGTGAGCAACGCCTCTCATCATTTTTTCGTATTGATCATTACGGGATGCAATTTGTCATTTTTAATGCTTAAATGTATTCTCCACTGTGGTGAAAACATCACAATGCTAAGTTGAGCTAAACATGCACCATCATCTTTATATAACAGTTGCATAATCAAAATGTTATTGGCATCCTTCCCCGTACGCTACCTTGTGCAGGAGTTCGATATCACAGGCCATCTGCCAGAGGACACCGAAGGCTCTGTAGTTCATCATTTGACCCGGACGTGCCACCAGTTTCTGAAGGAGAAATCCACAGGGATCAAAGAAACACACAGTCAGATTATGTCTCCCTTGACTTGTGACTGTCAGCATGGACATGGCAATCTTCAGGCCTAATCACTAAATTGTGTTGGTAATACTAACAAGTGCAGCATGTGAACTGGCTCAGATCTGGGGAGATGAATATAGCCAACTTCATCCTCATGCAGACAAAGACACACCATGTTATACTTGACTGACAGAGACTGAACATTCTTTTACCAGGTACTCCTTCTCGCTTATGAAGAGGTTGAGCTCTATCCTTCCATATCTGTAGACACTTAGCCGTTGAAACAAAGCGTAAATCATCTTCAGCAGCGTGCCGCGCTCATTACGCTGGGGCATGATACCCACCACCTTCACTGGGATGTCTAGATACACACACACACACACACTTTAGATTGACTGTGCACTGTACATGGCAGTGTCCAATCAGTTAAGTGGGTTACTACATAAAAGCTACATGGCAAACCCTCGCACTAATTAAATATGATTTTACTTTTTTTTTTTTAAACCATTCTTGATTCTTAAAATTTTCATTTAAACCCTTGAAACCTGTGAGCAATAATCAAGTGTATTAAGCCTTTATGCTCAAAGGAAGGATTCATTTCACTTCCAAGCATTAGAATAATGTTTACTGTATGAAAGAGGTGGGGTGTGTTTGCAGCCAGAGAGGCTGAACTAAAGGAATCCCCTTTGTATCCATTTATGTATGAGAAAGAGATTTTACAACACAGGTCGCTGCACTGTTTGTGTGCATATTTTTCTCTCACCATCAGTCCAGCTAGATTCTGATATTCCCAGATCAGTGAACAGTTTGTCAGCAGACATGACTGGGGGTCTTACAATTCCACTGCCAATAGGGTCTAGTTTAAAGTAATCGCAGTGGACCACTTCCAACTGACCATCAAGACGACCTTCCAACTCCTACAACATGAAAAAATAATTTGCAATGTCAAGGCAAAAAAGAAAACTGAAGAAATAATGTCTCATATTTAAAATGAGTTCGGTTGAAACTCGGGATAAGGACCACATATGGATACAAAAAGTCATATGATTCTAAGAGGTGTTTGTTTTACCTGTAGATCGTTAAGGAAGGGCCTGTCCCCTTCAAGAGCCACAACTCTCTGAGCGCCAGCATTAAGCAGTGTCCTAGTCAACACCCCAGGACCTAAGAGAGGCAGACAAAAACACAGCTGGTCAATTTACTGTTGTTTCACTGACAAAACTAATAGAGTCCACAAACATAGAAATCATCCAAACATGTACACATATCTTTCACTTTGGCACCCGAGTCAAAAACAGAATAGTTTACTTTGTTCATGTTTGTGCCAAATTTAATGACTGTTACACACCAAACGAACACATCAATATCCAGTCTACCTTTTGTGTTTCACCCCGACTTAAATATTCTACAAAGACATACCTGGGTTACATTCAAAGATAACAGTTTTAGCATCCTCGGGTCCTAGGTGCTGTGCTACTACTTTTGCCAGTTCTGGGTCCACAATGAAGTGTCTCATTGTTTTGCAGGCCTGAGCACGGTGAACATTCTCCTCTACATCTCCAAGGTCCAAGAAGTCATACCGGCACAGAGGCCGACACTGGCCCTGGAGAAAGATGAAGAGTGTGCAAACAATCAACAACATATGTGAAACAAGCCTGACAGCAAATTGATAACCACAAACTCAATATTACTATCAATACACACATTTTCTCATCAAATAAAAAGGTTCAAGCAGCAAGAAAAAAAAAAACCACAGTATATTAAGATAAAACCACATATATTAAAATGTTAATGGTCCCTGAGGCAAAACTGGAGCACTGCAGCAGCAAACTGAAACACTGCAGGCTAACCACAGTCAGCTGGGGCAAATCATTTGAGCCTAGTGCAAGATTGGAGTAGGTCTGTGTGTTGTGGAAGTTGACAAAGCAAGACCATGGTGGTAACAAGACATGCTGGAGGTTTTCCCAGCTAGTCTGAAAGCCTTTGTTGATCCTTTGCTGTAGGAAGAAAAGTGTTGCTTCGCTTGCCCTTTTGTCACTGCAACACAAATGATTTAAAATGAGTGAACACCTGCAGAGCCATGGACCATGTGTGGGAAAAAACACACATCATGTAAATACCACAACAATGGCAGTTACATAATTCCTTAAAAGCTGGGACTTTTCCATAAGCTTACACCACACTGATAAGTACACAAAGAAGCACAGACACCAGTTAATCCACAGCAGACACGCATTTCATACACTCCACATATACACCAAGATGCAGTGGAAGACTAGTGTCTAGAATACGGATAACTCCCTACCTGTACAGCCACAGCAGACAGGTTTGTGTGTGTGCGTGCAGACGAGTGGGATGTCCTATCTGTATGGGGCTGCTGTGAACTTGAACCAAGCATGGGCCAACCAGGACCTGAAGAGGGGGAGTCCAGGCTGTAAGCCCTTCTATAAAGAATAGAAGTCCCAGTAGCACAGAGGCCAGACGGAGCCATAGGGACCAATACTGCCTTGTGCAAACAGGTTCTACGTCTGATGGCCTGGCAGCAAGCAGAGCGCACCACCAGCTCCACCACTCTACAGATCTGCCTGGGCATGGTGGATCACTGGATCTAGTATAGAGAAAGATGTGAGGGGTTTAGTGACCTCTTCAAGAGGTCACTGCCTAGAAGGAACAGTGAGAAAAGAGGACAAGGGATTTCAAAATTAATAAATCATTTCAGTGGCACTAACTCACATTTAAACATGCAGTATGTTTCTTAAGGAGTCCATGACTGCTTTTCTGTGTTTTCTGACATACAGTATCTACTATGTTACAATGACTTATCTTAAACATCACTGAAAGCTAAAAAAAAACAACAACATGTACTTATGTTGCTGTACTTCAATACAGAAGCAACTCTGTTTCTACAACTCTCATGAACTCTCCATGAGACTTTCTTTCCAACTATGAAAAGTTTAATGCTATAGTTTATGGAGTTCCTTGAATGGCCATATTCTCCAGGCTGTGTGTGTTCATGCTTGCCTGACATCCACTGGTGGGATTCTAAAAGCCGTATTTTTCAACTGCACATGGTTTTGTGGATATATTTTACCTCTTGCTGCCTGCACTGTGACCAGAGAATGTGGAGAAAAATACAAGGCCTGAAGTTAATGCATGTCCAGGAATGTTCATGTAGAGGGACTCGTTTTTTTTTTTACCTGACCAGGTTTAAGGTGGCTGAATGGAGCGGCTAGAGAACATACAATCAGCCGGCCAGTGAAGCACACAGGGGCGGTGAATGATCAGCTCATCAACCTGGATTCCCC